CTCTCACCAGACCAGGTTGCTCAAAGCCCTGTCCAGCCTGGCCTTGAACACTTCCCTGGGCAACCTGTTCCAGTGCCTCACCACCCTTACAGTAAAGAATTTCTTTCCAGTATTCAGTCTAAATCTACCCTCTTCCAGTTTAAAACCATTTCCCCTCATCCTATCACTACCTGCCCTTATAAAAAGTCCCTCTCCAGCTTTCCTGTAGGACCCCTTCAGGAACTGGAAGATTGCAATAAGGGCCCCCTGGAGCCTTCTCTTCTCCAGGCTGAACAGCCCCAACTCTCTCAGTTGGTCCTCGCAAGGGAGGTGCTCCAGTCCCTGATCATCTTCGTGGCCCTCCTCCTCTGGACCCGCTCCAGCAACTCCATGTCCTTCTTATATTGGGGGCCCCAGAACTGGATAGTCCATGAGTAGGATTCTCTTCTTGCCATATAATTCAGGAAACAGGTTGCAGATATGTTGCACATGATGCTCTCCCACCTTTCCTGACTGCTCAGTCAGCTGGCTATGAGGGAAAATAGCCAACTGCAGTCAGTCTCCTCATAAATGATTGTACTGGATTTAAAGACTTCTCAAAATTTCTGGAGTGCAGACTCCTGGGCCAAGTGGAGTCAGTAACCCAGCACCAGAGTGCACCTGCTTCTATTAGATGCTCCTCAGTCACATATGTGCCGTACAGTCTTCCTTAGAGGCTTCTTGCTGTCTTTAGCGGAAAGAAATGTCCAGCAAATTCTCAGACATCTGCCTACTTTCTCATGCTCTCTCCTCTAAGAAAGAAACTGGCACTTGGTGCTGCAGAGCACAGCCATTTACCTTAGCTTTAGATTTAATAAGTGAAATTAGTTGATTGTAATGAAGATGATGTAGTATTGTCTCTCTGCACAGTGAATACATAGAAAACCTCTCCACTGTTCTCCTGCTTCTCCAGGGTGGAGAAATGCACTGACAAAAGCTTTTGAGCTTGTGCTGCTTTGAGTGTATCTGGGAGACAGATCATCATTTCAAAGGAGGAAGTGCAGCTCCTCAGTGATGTGGCCCATCACATTTCCAGTGTTTAAATAGTGGTTGGAAACACCAGTGGCTGAGCACTATTGCCTGCGAGATGAAGATGCTTTGCCTGCCAGCTTCAAAGCCATTTCCTTGATGTGGCCACTGACAATCTCAGTAACACGCTTATTAGTGAGAATTAAGAACTGAAGCTACTGCTTCTTTAGACAGGAGGAGGAGGCGGCTTCTGGAACATAATAAATAAATCAGAAGCACTTTGACATCTTCAAAGAGTTTTGTTTTAAATACTGGCTTTTCTCCTGGGAGACCCTCTTAGCCTCAGTCTTTCTTCTTTGAGATAATTAATTCAAGCTGCTCTGCATGTTTGATTTTGCCACAGTGAACAGAACTGGTCTGAGTGGCAAGGAAGATCCTATAACTCTTCTAGTTCAGCCTCCCACACAGCTCCCTGGAGTGTTTCCCCAGCAGTGTGTTTAGACCATTGATGCTGCAGGAGTTGGTCCATGGATTGCATTTGGCCCCGTGTTCAAAAGCGCCCTACTAGATGACCCGTGCTTTGGCTGTAATGAATTGGTCATCCTTCTCTTATGACATGAGATGCCACATACTGACTGTAAAGGGTCAGTAGACCTGCACGCAGTTGGAAAGAAGTACCAACTACCTTTCTTTGGTGGTGTCTGAATAGTCTGGGTTTTTTCCCATCGAAGTGGAATGTTTCCTTCTGTTTTCCAGTCTGAGCTGTTACTGATCAATCCAAGTTTGATTTTCCCCACTTCAGAGACTGACCTTTTCACCCTTATGTAGTGGCAGTGACCAAAGCATTGGTTTTCTTTTCATTTTTATGAACATTTTTGCCCTAACTTACTTCTGAAACACAGAGTTTCTTCCTGAAAGGAGGAGTTGGACTTTGCTATCACTTACACTTCATCTTTATGGTTTGTGGCTGATACTTTCCATACCCATGAAGTATGCTTTAAAATAAGGATATATGTAGCTCCCTACATGCACCTGTGGCTTAGCAGAGAGAAAGAAGACATTGTCGCTGACCCAAGAAGTCTTCAGTTTCCATGGAATTTGACCTGGTGGTCAAATGATAGACCTGATAGGTATGAAGAGAGATTGATGCATTTATTGGAAAGGGAGGATAGGATATCCACAGTGTGTAACTAGAAAGTTGATTGTTGGTGCAATGTTATTTCCTCTGTAGTCAAGCGGAGTTTGTCTGAATATAGATTGGAAATTAATAACTGTTATCCTTACAAACCTGAAAATACCCCAGTTTGATGAACTCTGCTATACAGGGGAATAGCCTAAGTCTCCTTCTGCTTACACCAGTTTAATACCTGTGTAACTGTACTGTCTGTAGCACAGTTACTCTTTGTATAGCCATGTGAACCAGCCTTGCAGTTTTTATGCCAGTGTTCATTTCATCGTGTCCATCAGGCTTCGAATGTTTGACATCCAGGTCACACTGCTCTGTTCACACTGTAGCTGAAGTGTGTGATAGCATTGACTTTCAGGACCCTCTCCTTACTGCAGGTTCTCAAGCTGCCTTCATTGTATATTAGGGTGTCCACATCTGTGCAGCAGTGGGTGTTCCCATTCCTCTCTCCTAACCTGTTACATTGGGCCAAGCACTAGCAGTCCTTCGTTGCACATAGCTCCCTGGCTGCACTTTCTCTAGATCTGGGGTTCCTGGGTACAGACTTTAGTTTTTTAGCAAAGGCTAAACTGTTTCTCTCGTCCTATCCTAGGATTGTGCTGATGGATGATGCTATGGATTGCCTGATGTCTTTTTCTGATTTCCTCTTTGCTTTCCAGATCCAGTTCTACTACTCAGGTAAATGCTGGGAAGCTGCTGACTTCACCTGCTAGTATAGCATTATAACCTTACAGCTTCCCAGTCCCTGTACCGTTTTTGAAACTTGTAAAGATATGTTTTTTCCCCGAAAATATATAGATAATGGAGTCTACTGACAGAAGGCATCACTGATGCCAAGAGATTAGGGGGCTTCATAAGAAGGTTCCAAATTTTTGTGAATAACAAGATACCTGTAACTGTTACAGCTTATGCATGTATTTGTCTTAGCCTTGAGACATAAATTTCCAGTTTTATCTAGAGTATGTTAGCACCTAACAATTAACTTTTACTTGGAACATATTTTTCCTTTCCTTAATACAGCATTTCTGTCCATACAGTATTGGTCCCTGCTGGAGACAGGGTAAGAAAAGCCTACCAGCTGGTGCCTTGAAAGGAAAAGGAACTGAGCGAATGGATACACTTCTCCCCCCTGATACTTGCCCAACTATGAACTGGTTTCAGCTCAAAGAGTTTCTGAACTGGGTACAGTTTCCATGGATATAGGAACCCCCACTAGACTTTTCTCCCAAGAACTTCTCCAGCTTCCCCTTGAAATCACATACACTTGTAACCTCCACCTTTTGGCAGGAGTTGCACAGATGTGCCATGTGTCCTATGAAGAACCACCTCTCTCGTTTGATTTGAGAGCTCCCAGTTGGAAGGGAAAGTGAACAGTAAATCCCCATCTAGCTTCTTCATATTGTTGGTCATTTATAATAATCTACTTCTCTCCCCTGATCTGACTTTTAACCACATGAGGTACCTCTTTTAAAATTCTTGACAGGAAAAGTACAAATCAAATTATATTAGTTTGTGTGTATATATTTACATATGCTCATCCACACATATATATCTGTAAAAATCCTCAGGCATTTTTAAACTGAAGTTCAGGAGACGAGGGGTAGAAACTTGAATGAGCATTCAGGTGCTTGTTCTGTATAGAGAGACTGCTTGAAAATACATTTGCCTGTTTGTCGTAGCCCCCCTAAAGTGTGGTTGAGGAAAGGGAAACTCATTCAGAGAACTGTTTAAGTGGGCAAAAAGAGGGAAGCATTTCCTTTATCAAAGTTAGATACGCTCCCAAGCACTGCACTTACTCATCTCCCTGCACTGAGCACTTTCTGAAGGCAACATAAGCTCATGGATTTCTGCCCACTCGCACTTAAATAGCTCCCTCTGATGGACGTAGCTCACAATTGGCCTCGACCAGGCCAAACGGGCCATGTTTGGATACTGGGAGACATTGGAGAGAAGCTGTGGTGGATTGTAGTCTGTGGTCAGAGAGTAGACTTGGGTGGTCTGCTGGTCTCATCTAACCTGTCGGTTCCCATTTTCCTAGCAGTTCAGAGTCAGCTGCTATCCCTAGTACAAAAATATATTTTTCTCAGTACTTCTCAATATATACTTCCCCTGAAACTCCCCTGTGCCTATTGCAACATTATCCATGACACTTAATCAAAGAAAAACTGTGCAAAATGGTGATTTTAGGTTGGGCAGAGGCAGGCTTGTAATGCCTTTAGCTGGAGACAGAAAGTGTGTTTGGAAAGTTTTTCTGTGATATAACAAATATTTCCACTGAGCTGCAGAACCTCAGCACGGCCTCAGGGCGCACTGACATCCTGCCTTTCCTCTCCACCGCCTCACGCACAGCATTGCGCTTCCATTCGCTTGGGACTTCAATGCCACTGGAGTCGTCACAAGCCTGCCCTTGTGTACACACACTCAGACATCCCCTCCCTGTCCTGCTCACCCAGGCACAACGCACACCCGCAGTCTGCCATACGCTCTCCCACCAACCCACACACAGGCAAACCACTCCAAATGGAATCTAGATTTGTAAACTGCTGACCACATCCATAAACAAACTTGTTTAAAATTAGGCTCTTACAGTAAACAGTGGGTAGTATGAGGAGCCTGGGGAGAGGCTTTCTGCCAACTCTAGCCCTGACCTGCCCTGGCCCTTCCTCTAGATCCCGTGTAATATTTACTTTGGAGCAGCACAGAGACAAGCTGGGATACAGCCTGGAGCCCTGACTAATTTGCTCCCTTTCCTCCTGTTGCAGTTCCATATTGTTCGTTCCCAGCTTGGATGAGTTCTTAGTCAGTGGCAAGAGATGGAGAAGGAAAACTTTTTAGACTTTGCAAACTAGTTTTGTGTTCAACGTTAGCTTTCATGCTTTGCTGTTTATCTGTGTGCTAGCTTGCCTCTGTTCCCTTGAGAAGAATCTTGCTCAACAGAGTGAGTGGCTTCTCATACTCATCCTCATAGGAAGAAGCTAGCAACTTCCTACCTGCATAATATCTGATCTGAATATGCAGGATGCTACGGTGTTGTGCTTATTTCCTGTTGGTGCTATATGCAACACAGAACAGGGAATGACATTTTAATCCCAGGTCTGGTAGGTCGAGAGGATGCTTTGATGATTATAGCCCTGAGTTTTAAGTTTTCTGTTTTTTCAGAGTTCCTGGAAAGTGTGGCTGCCATTTATCAAGATCTACTGGCTGGTAAGAATCCAAATACTGTGATTGTGCCAACATCATCCTCTGGGCAACATCGGCAGCGCCAACCCCCAAATGACTGCAGCCCACTCGATGGGGTAGAGGCATCTCTCTTCTACCAGTGCCTAGAGTCCTTGTGTGACAGATCAAAATACAGGTATGAACAGACTCCGAAACACAGATTTGAAGTTTGTGTCTTTGGAGATCCTTCGTAAGGTTGGAGCTGTGAAGAAATACAGGACTTTGAACAAGCTGTAACTCCCAAATAGATCTCATTGGAGATGTATGAAGGACGAGATCATAGCCAAACTGCTTTAATCAAAGAAGATAAACAATTTTATGGACCTAAGAAACATGGGCTTTAAGCTGATTCTTGAAGTACTGCATTTATTTAGGTCTCTGCTTTCCTTCTCACTTCTGCATTGATGCTTTCATCAATGAGAGGTCCATCTACCATCATGAGTTAAGTAGAGGAAATAAACAAATGCAGTTGTGTTCTTGGGTGCTGAAGCATAGGAAAGGCTCACTGAGGTGGATGGAGTTTGAAGACTTAGCATCTAGACCAGGTCACACTGCTGGTCTGTACCCGAGCCAGTGATGGAGCTGGTATCCAGTTAGAGATCTCAGGCACAAGACTAGCCTTAGTTCAGCGGGGGTGGAGCAATGCCAGACATTATTGCGTAGTTTTGACAGACACGTTCTTTATAGTTTCTTGCAAGTAGCGAGCACATGCCCTGCTAGAAGGTCACGGGCTAAATCCACAAAAAGACTCAGGACACAAGCTCCATCTGATTCCTGCTTTAGTTGGCTGAACCCAGCAGTTCTGCTGAACTGCTGTCCAGTACTGTAGACATCTAAGCATGGACATGCCAGTTTGGCTCGTCTATGTAACCTCTCCATTCCCTGTACGTCCTGCCAGCTTCAGCTGGGAAAGATATTGTGAGCCCATCTGGTAGGTCAGGTGCTGCACAGCACTGTGAAGGTAGCCATTCCCGGGCTTTCATCCAGTAGCTCAATAGTCAGCCAGGCTTTGGTAACCACCTTTGCCTGAGGGATCACCAGCCCACACCCACATCTCCCAGGGGTGCCACTACGCTTCTTTATGAGGCAGTTTTATTTTGCATGAAATTCTTTAAGGAGTGTTAGCCAAGAGCAAGAATTACTGTGATGATATTGCTTAGAAGACAGGACTAGGAGTTAAGGTGAGTGTAGAAAAAGAGGATATGTACATTTAGTCCCCACCTAAATATGGTTTTCTGACGTAATTAGGCTATCATTGGAGAGGTTTTCCTGCCCCTTGGATGTTGATCACTGATATCTCCTATGAAGACAGGCTGAGGGAGTTGGGGTTGCTTAGCCTGGAAAAAAGAAGGCTCTGTTGAGCCCTCATAGCAGCCTTCCAGTACTTAAAGGGGGCCTACAGGAAAGATGGGGAGGGACTCTTTATTGGGGAGTGTAGCGATAATATGATGGGTAATGGTTTTAAAATGAAAAAGTGTAGATTTAGATTAGGTATTAGGAAGAAATTCTCTACTGTGGGGGTGGTGAGACACTGGCACAGGTTGCCCAGGGAAGTTTTGGATGACCTCTCCCTGGAAGTGTTCAAGGCCAGGTTGGACAGGGCTTTGAGCAACCTGGTCTGGTGAGAGGTGTCCCAGCCCATGGCAGGGGGTTGGACTGGATGATCTTTAAGGTCCCTTCCAACCCAAACCATTCTATGATTCTAGGAAAAGGGTGAAAACAACCTAACAACCTTCATGAAAGTTTATTGTCTTCTAAAAGAAAGGATTTTCCACTTGATTTTTGAAAGAATATGCTAAGATTTGGGATGTGTATGCCTCTGAGTGAATCTAGACTTTCCACCCTGTCCTTGGAATGGAGGTAGGTAAGACTGCTCCTAGGGATGAACCCCAGCTCAGATATCTTGCTTAGCAAATGAGCAGATGCAACGCTAAATAAGCAAGCTGATGGCTTCTCGTTTTAAACTGAGTCAGAGCAACTGGAGTGTTAGAACAGGTAAAAGGGCTTATTTCTCCAGTTTGAGCTGGGTCTTGGGGAAAAAGAGATGATAATTTAAAATACAAGATGACCTCTTTGTCTCTGTTTTCCTAGCTGTCCACCTTCTGCTCTTGTGAAAGAAATGTTGAGTAGTGCACAGAGACTCACCTTCTATGGATTCCTTATGGCACTTGCAAAGGATCAGGGGATCAATAGAGCCCTAGGTAAGACTCCTGTGAATGGTACAGCTCTAGAGCTTCAGTCATTCTGCATTACTGTGGATCTGTAATTATGCCACAGATTTTACACTATCAGAAAGAGAGCGAGGGAAAGTTTTTCATCTTTTTGTTGATGGGTTAAACTTTAAAAACATAACACTTACTGTCTGCCTGAAGCTGTGGAGCTTCTTCAGTACTAAAATTAGATATAAAGTGGTGCCTGCAGTGGGTTGACCCTGGCCAGATGCCAGGTGCCCAACAAAGCCTCTCTATCACTCCCCTCCTCAGCTGGACATGGGGAGAGAAAATACAACAAAAGGCTCATGGGTCAAGATAAGGACAGAGAAAGATCACTCACCAATTACCCCCATGGGTAAAACACACTCAACTTGGGGAAATTAGTTGTTTATTACCAATCAAATCAGAGTAATGAGAAATAGCAACTAAATCTTAAGTACCTGCTCCCCACCTCTCCCTTCTTCCTGGGCTCAACTTTACTCCCAAATTCTCCACTTCCTCCCCCCCCCCAGCAGAGAAGTGGGACGGGGAATGGGAGTTACAATCAGTTCATCATGCATTGCTTTTGCTGCTGCTTTCTTCTCATGGGGAAGCCTCCACACACTGTTCCTCTGCTCCAGTGTAGGGTCCCTCCTATGGGAGACAGTCCTCCATGAACTCCAATGTGAGTCCTTCCCAAGGTCTGCAGTTCTTCACGAACTGCTCCAGTGTGGGTCCCTTCCACAGGGTGCAGTCCTTCAGGAATGGGCTGCTCCAGCATGGGTCCCTCAAAGGGTCGCAAGTCCTGCCAGTAAACCTGCTCCAGTGCAGGCTCCCCTGTCCACGGGGCCACAGGTCCTGCCAGAAGCCTGCTCTAGCACAGGCTTTCCTTGGGGTCATAGCCTCCTTCAAGCACAGCCACCTGCTCTGGCATGGAGTCCTCCATGGGCTGCAAGTAGATCTCTGCTCAACCGCTGACCTCCATGGGCTGCAGGGGAACAGCCTGCCTCACCATGGTCTTTACCACAGGCTGCAGGAGAATCTCTGCCCCAGCACCTGGAGCAATCACAGAGGTGCTACCACCATCGCTGACTGGCTTGGCTTGGCCAGGTGTGGGTACGTCTTGTAGCCGGCTGGCATCGGCTCTATCTGACATAGGGAAAGCTTCTAGCAGCTTCTCACACAAGCCACCCCTGTACCCTGCCCCCCCCCACTACTAAAACCTTTGTACCCAAACCCAATACACTGCCCTAAGATAGCAATATTTTCCTCTTCAATAACTGGTCATTTTAGCTGAACTGTTGCTTTAAGAAGTTTGGCTATAAGGGTTGGACAGAGGTGTCCAGGAGACAAGTAATGTGGCTGACTGCTGTTGACAGTACTGATTTGAAGTCCCATCCTATGTTTTAGCCCTTCATTCTCCCACAGATTTTAAGTGACTGCTCTCATCCACAAGGAAAGGAGGTATACCCAGTGGGAAAACCTCTGCTGCCTCCTTGGCTTAAAGACTCAAAACCCAGTCTTTCTCAGCGCTTCCCCAAGGCAGGGTGATCGCACTGATACAGTAATCTATGGCCTACTGAAAATCTGGTGGTATCATAAAAGACAAATTGCTACAAAGTTCTGTACCAGACTGCTGTGGAAACCAGAGAGATTACCAAGCAGTATCTCACTGCTTGTTTCTACGTTGTGCTGGTCAATATTGTTGTAGAGCAGGGAAGCAAAGTGTTGCATTGGCAAAGGACAGTGTGTAATCCATGCATAGTTCAGACAGCTCATAATTCTATGTTGCCCCTTTATTCCTTGTTTGTGCTTGTCCTCCTCTTGCAAAGGGGAACAGAAGTGGCTTTTTTGCATTTGTCAAGGCTGTATCAAGGAGGTATGTTTAAATGTGTGGAGGCCCAAGCATTCATCTTCACTCATCTCCACTCAGCACAGTGGAGATGTTCTTTTGCACAGGTGTGTGTCATAGTGGAGTAAAAGTGTGTGTGTGTGTGTGTGTGTGTTTGTGTGTGTGTGTGTGTGTGTGTGTCCCGGCTGAGCCCCTTCTAACTGCAAACCACTTAAGCTGTTAATGCCCTCTGGGGCAGGGCTGCTTACCCAGCAACATGGAGATTATATATCAAAGGTACATGAATAGAGCCCTGAAATCCCCTCTGCAAACAGGCTTAGGAAGCAGTGTATTCACTGGGGAAGGTGATGGTTGGATTGCACCAAGCAAAAATCTTTTTTTTCCTTTGCTTTACGAAATCCACTTCCAGTCGAGTGCAAAGAAAACAGATGGGGGGGGAAAAAAAAAGTCCTGCCCACAGCTTCCATTGTGCCATCTACAAAGTGTGTGGGTTTTCGTTTCCATTCATGTGGGCCCGGCCCCTGGCCCTCTGCCAGCCTCCTGCCGAGGCCTCTCACAGAGGAGGGGCAGCAGCCACAAGTCTGACAGGTGCTAGCATCTTGGCAAGGAAAGGAGGATTCTTTTCCTGGTGTCTTTTCATCTCTCCTGAAGGGTGATTTCAATAGTCTTTGGTCTGTAGGGATCACAAGCTCCCCAAAGCCCTTCAGCAAGGGCAGTTTCAGGCAAAGGAGCTTTTGGTCAGGATGCCTGCCTTCTCTTTGCTCTCACAAAACCAGTACCTGCCTTGAGGAACAGAGGTACAGATTAGAGCAGTTCGTTCAGGCTGAGGCAGCACTGATGAGTTTGTCAGGCAGACTGGAATCCACAGCCTAACTCTAGTGTCAATGTTGATCTGTGATTCCTTTGTTATTTACTGACTCTCCCAAGTAATTCTTGTGCCCTAGAGACCTCACTGTGCGTTCCGCAAATGCAAAAAACAAGCTAAGCTTTAGTTGCTTATTCTTTTAATTGAGCCCATGAAAGGGAGCAGGCTGGGCCACTTCACTGTACCTCCTGACACACTGTGTTGCAGTGCCAGGCTTTCCTGTTCATTTGCAGGAGGGGAAGACCAGAACTGGAAGAAGTGGCAGAGTCGATTCTGGTCTAATCTGGTTTTAATTTTGAGTCACTCATTGCTACGTTTTGATGACTGTTGCCAGCTTCTCTGTGCAAAGTAGGTGGCTCTCCAGCCCCTCCTTCAAGAACAAGGTGCTAGACAAGATTTGTGTCCTCACAGGGAGTACAAAGCCCCTTCCCAAAGATACTGAGTGTAGCACCCAGGTCTCCTGAAAAACAAGAGCACACCTCACTGCACTGTTGGTACAAATTTCCATGTGTATTTTTCCTGGTGTGCAGTGGTACTATCCAGGCTGTGGTAGGCAATTCCTGTCAACTTGTGCTGGCTGATCACCCTCCCATGGCCTCTGTACAAGGTGGACTTTGTAACAGAATTAGGAAGGAGGGGTTTCCTAAAAGCCCCATCTGACTTTCTGGGCTCTTCCTGAGGTGCCAGTGTTGTTTCAGAGAATGGCAAGGATGATCAACCAGCTGTTACAGTCCCAAACTACACCCACGTCCTTCATCCCAAATAGGGTTTCAAATGTGAAAAGGCACATTCTGAACTTATGCTGAGAGAGGGGACCCGATTACTGGCCCAGCCTTTCATGCTTTCACCCAGACAGCAAGCAATGCTAGAGCACAGTCTGTCCACACTTACTCCTGTAAATTTAATGTGCACCATAGCCAGGCCTAACTTTCCTGAATTGCAAGGAAAGCAACAGCCTTCCACCTGTGGAGTGTTTTGATCCCCAAGCTCAGTGCACCACAAGATGACAGGTGGCACAGAAGATGTATGTCCCCCTGGGTGGTATAGCTCATGCTCCAGGCTGTAGCACAGACACCACCACATCTATTGCTCTGATAGGATCTGGGGCAATTAGCAGAGGCCTGAAGTTGACAGACTGTCATCTCTGTGGCAGTCAGTACTCAGTAGCTGTGTACAGTGAACGGAAACTGCCAGTCCTTAGGGCTCTTCAAATTCTCTGAGAGATGAGGCTACCGAATCTGCCTCCCATTTAGTGTGAGCTCAGCTACAGCTTGTGTGAAGGACATAAAATATGGACCATCATTCTTTATCTGCCCATGATACTCAACATTCATTGTCCATTACTCTAATAGGTATAAGGAAGAGTCTTCTCTGTCTCGCAGTAAAGATTTTTGGATGCTGCTATGGCTTGAGCATTTGTCTCATGAATGAATAGCCTAACTCTGCTTCCTTGTGTTTATTTTTCCAGGGGCTTTGCCAGATAAAGGAGACTTGTTTCTGGACCCTGCCATGGATCAGGAACTTGAGAAATTGTAAGTAGAGTTGCCTAAAGTAGGAGGTAAAGCAACAGATTAAAGGTAGCATGTTAAGGAAGACCTTAGCAGAGTACTGTTCCTATTCCTTGGCTCTACTATAAAACAATAGAGGAGCTAACAGAGCAGCCTGAGCAGCCTTTTTGGGCTTGTCTTGGTGCAGTTAACACAAATCCTTAGAAAAGGCTTCAGAAACTGAGGAGAAAAGTGTGCCTGAAAGAGGGAATCTAGAGGAAGCAGCAGTCTTTAATGAACAGGGAAATTTTGTTTGGAAGAAAGGTTCAGACAGTGAGTCTGGTAGGTACTAGTGCAAGGTATTCCCCTCTGTGCCATGAACATCTTTCCATCGCTGTGGTAGCTGTAAAGCCCCCTCCTAGGCTCTCTCCAAAACTGCTATGGTAAAGGCTGGAGATGACAAGTTAGGCTGCCTAGTGATTGTCTTTTCTCTTTCAGGGTAGCTCAAGTTTCAGGGCTTTCTGTCTCTGGTCCCACCAGCTCCAGCGGGGACACAGCTAATTTGCCTGACCGTAACTCACCCAGGATTAACTCTCCCTGGAAACCTCTACGCCACCGGCGAAAAATGGATGCTGAGAGTGAAGGCTCCAACGAAGAGACAGACTCCTCTGAAAACTGAAGGTTGTGAGAGTGGGCACAATTCCCACCTTGGGTTTCTCTAGAACCCACTGGAGGAACAGCACCCCCTCCCAGGGCATCTGCTCTGACAGTAGGTTTTGCCCACATCACCAGTGCGTGTGCAGCTCTGCAATCTCCACTGTCAAGTCCACCCATCTCTTCCCAGAAGGAACTCTGCCTTTTTCCTAGCTCCAAATTCGTGCAGGAATAGCTCCTCTGCAGAAGCCATTTCCAGCTGCAGAATTACACTACCCTCTGCTGGCAGGCAAGACAAGCCAGCAGACACCAGCTCAGCCTCCCCTTGGAAATAGCCGGGTGTTCTCTCACCTCAGCTCTCCCTCACCTTTCAGCAGGTGCTGGAGCTGTGGGAGTGCTAGTGCAGGCTGTTTGCCAGTGTTTGGTTATGCAGCTGTGTTCATACTTGGCCTCGACAATAGAGTGGTTAAATCGCCAGCGGCAGCTCTGCACTCATGCTCCATTATTATTCCCAGTAAAGTTGCACCTGCACATGATCAAAGGTAGAGAAATCCCTGCTGTTCCTCAAAAAGAAGGGTGTAGATATTGCTATGCCACCTGTCTCTCCTTCCTCCTCCATGTGTCCAAGACTTGCCAAAGCAAATACAGCCATATTTGCTAGATTGCAGTAGAGCACTGCATGGTGCCATCTGGCTCCTCTGCTACTGAGCTCCCTTCTGTGAGGCCTCTCACTGCCTCCAGCAGTGTATTAAGGTCATTTGGGAAACCAAACTTCAGAAACATTGGAGGAGAGAAAGAGAAAAGTAGAGCATCTGGGGTTGGCTGGGCAGAAGCACTAGGGGAGAAGGCAGCAGTTATCAAGCGAGGTCCAGGATTTTTTTTTGTAAATATTGGCATTATCGTGGCTTCAAGGTGTAGCCCTTACAAGTAGCATCTCATTGTGTTAATGGTAACTAACTCAGCAGTTTGGCCTCCACAGCCCTGAGCACTTTGTCTAGCCCAGCTGCTGTTCCTCAGCTTGCAGAGACTCCTTATTTCCTGGGCAACTGCAGTTTCTCTTGCTTGTTTGGGGATCTCCTTGCTCCTCTTGTCCATAAAATGCTGGAGCATGGGCTACCAAGAGGTGCTAACCTAAAGCTTATAGCAGCCCTAAGCTGACTGGATTCAACCCATGCCAGAGTTATTTTAATTTGCCAAGTCTGCACCACAGCCCCACCTGTAGAGGTAGTGGGAAGCGTTATTTATTTATTGTAAGTTATTTTATTTATTAACGTGCTTGCTAACTGTGCTTTCTCTCCCGCCCCTCAAGGAGTGAGTGTGACAGCCGCAATAAAGCACGCTGCGAAAGGCCGCTGTTGTCTAGGATCTTCTGGGCCGCCTCGGCCCCACAGGGCGCTGCCGTGGGGGGGAAGCGTCACGGCGCGCACAGGAGCAGCGTAGGGCGGGCTCCGGTGCCTTTCGCGGGGCCCCGCCCAGGCCTCGCCTCGGCCGGGGAAGGCAACGGGACCAATC